CGGTACGTGCTTCCTCCCGCAGCTGTGCAGCCGCGGAGCGCGGGGGTAAGGCGCAGAGGCGCAGGGGATGGCAGCGGGGCCGCCGCTGCTCCCGGCGCCCCGGGAGGAGCGAGGGGCGCCCTGTTTTCCGACAGCGGGGGGCCGAACAGAGCTCGGGTGTCGGCCCCGGGGGGAAATAACGGCCTCCTCCTGCCCCGCCGGACGCCGGGGCGCAGGAAGGGGTAGCGAGTGGGTCCGCAGCAGGGCTCCCAGGTTGGCAGAGTGCCCTGGGGGCAGAGGTGCCCGATGTCCTCCTCCATCCGACACCAGAACGGGTCACGAACCGCGGGCGTTCCCAGGAGCGTACGGGATGGTGAGAGCAGTTGCTACCGTTAGGTCTGGGCTACGTTTGTTTCCAGAAACGTTCCCCGTGTGCTCTGCAGAGCTCTTTCTCTTCCTGGGTTCTTTTCGCGGGTGCGTGCCCTGGTGATTTCTATCATCGTCCTTTTCTGACAGTGCCTCTTTGTGGTTTTTCTCCTCTTTTCAATGCGTCTGTCCGAAGATCTCCTCTCCGACTGACGTCCCCGAGACTCGCCTTCCCCAGCAGGCAGCCGACGCGATGGGGAAGTCCTCGTTCCGACGCCACGTATAAACCCAAGTCTATAAACCCGACTTTCTGGAAGTTATTTGGCTATCACCCTTTTGTTGCTGCCTTCTGAATAACTGTATAATGAGCTTTGTTGTGGAGCGTGGGAGGATTCCTCATGGATACGCAAATTAATGAAGTGCATATATATGTGTACGTAGCGGAGGTTACTTCAAATGTGAATCTGCGTAGTAATGGTCCATTAAGCTGATTTTAAAGATTTTTGCCTTCCAGGTTGTATGCTGTCGCTTTGAAGCGGGGAAGCCGCGTGCTGTGAAAGGGGACCTGGCTCCTCTTCTCCGTGGGCTGCAGACGTCAGCCGTGGTGAGCTCCACGTCGCTGGCAGTGAAGCTCAGCACCGTGTTTCACTTCTTCGTGACCTCGGCTCTTTCTGTCTTTCAAAACCATGTTTTTTCTTGAGAAGTTTAGGCCCACTGAATACTGAAGTTGGTGATAAACTCTTCAAACCCTCCTCCTGGCACGATATTTTTGGGTTTGTTCCTGTTTCTCATTTTACGATGGTTTATTGCTCGGCGCTGAACTGTCAGAATGCCACCAGCGGGGTGTACAAGAACAGTACCGTTACTTTCTATGGCTTTCCTTTACAAAATCAACCTCTCTTGAAGCAGTGGATTCACAACATGGGCCGGGACATGGGAACACCGTCCAAGCATCAGCGACTGTGTTCGAAGCATTTTGAGGACAGTTCTTTTGAAATTGACCCCTTAAAAATTAGAAAAAACAGACGTCTGCTGAAAGAAGCTGTTCCCAAAAAATTCATTTTGGGTGAAGATGGAAACTGGCTCGTTGGCACACCCCGAAGTTTCTGTGGTGGGATAAGTAATAAAACTCGAAAACGAATCCGGAATCCTGAGCACTCGAGGGTAATTAAGATATATGCTATTGTATTTACTTCCCTTAAATTAAAGGAAGATTGGCATGTCAAGCACTTCAAGGCAGCAGCAGTAGGTGAAACACGCTACGCGGCAGTAAAACGTTGCCAGCGACGCAGCGGGTTTCGGTTTTCTCCCTGGTATTGCGGAGCGCGGAGGTGGCACTGGGAGGCCGGCGACAGGGGAAGGGCCAAGCCGCCTCGGTGCTCTTTGTGCTCGACTTCCCATTTTGTGCCTAAACGCTAGGAGGGGGCAAAAAAATCTGCTGTTTGCTGGAAACGCAGTCCCAGGTCATGCGGTGAAACGGGTTCGCCCCCCGCGGACCTGTATTTGTACATGACGGTCCTCACGCTTGGAAAAAATTGCCTTTAGGGTCACCGAGATGATTTCTTGGTGGCACAGTGCCCACGGTGTGGGGGTTTGGGGCCGAGACAAAGGCTTAACTTCCGCTCAGCCTTCTCCCCTGCGTATTTAATTTGGATTGCGATCCCGTCTGGTGACAAATTAATGAAACTCAGTTATTTCTCTTGGCAGCGGATTTGTACGGTCGGGTTTATACGTGGTGCAAGCTGCAAAACACCCGAACCAGTGAGATGCGCATTGGGTTAAAAGGCAAATCAAAGCATATTCGAACACGGTACTCTGTAGATATAAAGTACAGATAGAAAGTATGTACGCAGTACGTACGTATACGTTGCAAAAAATGCAGTATTCGTCTCCCAGCGTTCGTAGGGCTTAATTTTTTGTTTGCGTTAACTTTTATTATTGGGGAAGAACCCTCACAGCCAGATCCGGCGGACTGTGGCGCTGCCTCAGAGCTTACTTAAAATACGCTCTGGAGTATTTTCTGTTTTTCAGCGTAAGGAAGAGCCGAATTCCTTGGTTGGGCTGGGTATCGGTGGTGACCGCACATTTCTTTTACCACTCTAATTTTTGACCCAGTTGTTCTAGAAAGTCGTCGTTTCAGTTGAGTCACATTATTTTTAAGTAATTTCACTCGTTCTGAGTGAAATTACTACGTACAGAAATGCCAGTAGAAGATCTGTATATCAAGTCCTTCGTTAATATGCTGGTTATACGTAACGTGGGCGTTGCTAGAAACAGTTGGCTGGCGACCACTGTTTGAAAAAGAGGGCTTTCAGGGATGTACGACTCTCCGGTGGCGTTGACTATTGAACACTTCGTTTTAGGTCCCTGGGACATGCGATAATGCTGCAGCGCGTGAGGGGAAGGACTTGGGAGATTGGCAGAAAGAACTTTACAAGAAAGTGATAAAGGAGAATTACGAATCTTTAACCACGTTGGGTAAAGGTTAGTTTTCCCTTTCTCGCTGAAGGCTAACAGATCCGTGCTGTTTCTGGCCTGGCTCTCGTCTAACAGTCGCTCCTCAAATCCTTTGGTTTCTAGTGGATTAATCTTTAGATACTTCCGAATCTTTGTGAGAGACGATAAGCTCCACAATCTCCTCTTTAAAGAAGACTGAAGGACAGTCACTTTTCTAACGCCTCCGCGACTGCTGCCTCCCTGCGCTCTGTTGATGTCAGGCGCTCAGTCCGTGCGCGTAGGTGATACCTTGTCCGCATGATGCGGGTAGAATAACGCAGAGTGAAAGGGTCTCCCCTGGTAGAGGGGTTTAGGATCTCTGACGGTGCCCCGGTAACGCACGTGCTAACTGAAACAAGGAATAAAGGAGAGTGGAGAAGGTTTAGATGCACGAGCTCGGGAGCTGCGACGACATATGGTATCGTTAATTCGGTGGACTTGTTAAATGCAGTTAAGTTGTGAGTGTTTTCATCATCCCCAAATCCTGATGGATGTTGGGTTTTGTGATTCGCTAAAGAGTATTGAACTATTTTGATGCAGAAATAGTCAAATGACATGAACGGTGCCCTCAAAAATGAAGAAGTCGTTGGTTAGTTTTAGGTGCCCAACTACACATTTGTTTGAAGTCTTTTTTTTTTTTTTAAATTTGAAGGTGTGAGCTTCCACTGGCTCCTCGGCTTCCAGGTGATTCCTTGGATTAATAGAAGAAGAACCTGCTGTAATTAGGGGCTAGAAGTGCTTTTACTTGTCCTCTGGGCTGGAGGAACAGAAGTGCTGTGAGCCCCGGGAGCCTCGGTTGTCACATACTGTAGTTTGCGCTTTGTGACACTCTTCAGTTCCGTTTAAGAAACGCTGATTTAGCCTAACCTCATTCTGTTCCTACTTCTGCACTTCCAGATTTGAAATTTCATGAAATAATGAGGCAATGTAATTCCACTTTTTTTTTTTTTTTACTTTTTGCGTACCTTCTATTTTTCACAGTAGAAAAGCTGGAGTCTGCAGACAGCTGCCTGCGTTTTTTGTACAGCTCCGATCTGTTAAAAAAGTAGGTGTGCGCTGTGCATTGCGTGAAGAGGGATTAGCTGGGGGGAAATAAGTTCGTGTATCAGAAAGGCAGTTGGGACCGAATCATAACATACAGCACCGGACAGCTGAATTACGCTCTTACGGCTGTAATCAATCTGAGACCTTCCACTTCTGAACACTTAACTTTTCGACCTTTTTGGATAGAATTTCTGGAATATTTTAAAAATCGGAAAACAAATATTGCTCGCCTGCTTCCCAGCCGCCCTCTCTAGATGCCAGAGCAGCTGCATTTGCTGTTACCTGCTCGTTGGACCTTTCCCCGGCGTAAAAGAGACGGGGTTATGCAGGTGTTTGCTGGAAAACAGCATCACAAAGACTTTTCTTACAGTTCTAGGAACAACTAGAAAATTGTTGTTCTTTGAGAAAGCAAAAGGCAGTATTTTTCATGTAAATTAACAGAAATGAGTCGCGTTACAAAAAAAGGCGTAAGTAAACTACAGGGCTCGGAGAGGGAAAGTGAACAGGCTGACAAGAAGCTGTCTTCAGCACTGGTCTTTGTGCAACCTGTCCTTTGTCTACATCAATGCAATTAAAGAAGGTTAGGAGAGATCTTTGTAATAGCGGGAAAAAAACGGAGGGAAATAATCATCATTTCCACATTCTGTTCCTTGTGCAGACCATCCTGTTCCCAAAAGCGATATCCAGGCAAGAGAAGCGCTGCGTGCCGAGGATCAGCGGGATTTTGAGGAAAGGGAGATTCCTGCAAGTCTTGCCGCAGGTGCGTGGTGGTCTGAGACGCGTCGGAAATTAAATCGGCAACACGTTGAAACTGCGCGGGCTTGTAGGATTAGAGGGAGGGGGGATTCTAGTGCATCCCTGCTTTTTTTTTACCCAAAGCTTGTTTTCTTTGTATGGATGTAGCCATGGTGAATCAGGAATTGTTGTTCTTTGGAGATTCATGTCAGATCACGTCACATAAAGGGAACGTTTGGAATCTTTCTGTTCCAGGCTGCGGTGGTACGGTGGTCAGACCCGAGTTGCAGAGTCGCGCAACGAGTTCAGAAAATACAGAACTGTGCGGATCGTTCTCGGGAGGATCCCGAGACCTGACTGGCCAAATTTCGGACAAGGGGGTGACATCTGAGAGTCGTCAGGATTCAGCAGCAGATCGGGCAAATCCAGCGGGAAGCAGAAGAGGTAACAGCTCTCCTGAGGAAGGAGAATCTAGTGAATTCGGAGAGATCCCTTTCTATCAGGAAACCCATGCCGGCGAAAGACTGTATCTGTGTACAGAATGTCAGAAGACTTTTAAACTGAAAATTGGACTTCTAAAACATAAGCAAATCCACACCAAAAAGAATCGGGTATCCTCGTACATATGCACAGACTGTGGTAAGAGCTTTGGTCGCCACGCAGACTTGCTTCGCCACCGGAGAACTCACACGGGGGAGAGGCCTTACAAGTGTACGGAATGTGACAAGAGTTTTATGGAAAAACCGAGACTCACTAATCACTTGCGAACTCACAACGTATACATGTAACCGGTGTGCCAAAAGCTTTCCTGGGATAGATTTTTTTCCGTTCAGTTATCAAAAAATCCCTCTCCGTCCAGAGATGGTGGCTTATAGTCATATATTGATTGTAGGGGAAGCTTTAGGATAAGACAGTTTAATAAGACTGAATCAAGTTCAAGCGTGAAAAGCGTCTGGTTGGCGCCAGCCTAGCAGCCATTGATTGGGAGCTGATTTTAATTAGCAGCTAGATGATTCATATCTGGGAGGAGGAGTGGTACAGAGCAGTGTTGACTGTACCAAAAGCATTATTAAAAAAATCTTCTGGTGCAGCAAACGGCGCACGCTAGAGAATGTCTGCATTAATGCAGAAAAGTGCCGGGAGTTTTTCAGGTACGAGGAGGCTGAGAAAATGTCGCGATCAGAACAGGATTGTCCGCAGAGGTGTAAGCAGGCAATGGAGCTCCTGAAAGCGTAGGTGAAGGTGAATGCTTGGGTTTGATGTAAAAACAGCAACCAAAAATAAAAAAGTGAGTTCGGCGGTTACAGTCGTAGGACAGCAGCGGCAGTGAAAGCACTGTCCCGTGGAAACGACGACCGGAGTCGGTCGCTTCAAATGTCTGTTTACGGGGGGCGAGACGCCCATTTAACTTCCGAGATTCTGAAAAAGAGCACGGGTGTGTTCTTAACGCGCGTGCAAAGCAGAGGTATCACTACAAGCTAGAAAGCAAGCAGCAGCTTCGGCTACAGGGACAAGATCGGCAGGCAGGAGGGGAGTCCTGGAGAGACAGTGTTTGTAGATCACGCGTCTTCTCTCCCCAGGCTGGTGATGATCAGCATTTTTTTTGCTTATTCCAGTTGGGTGCAAGGAGTGAAAAAGTCACCTTGCCGCCAGTTCAAGCAGCTGCTTCACGGTGAGCCCGTGAGTGAAGTCGGGGTCCTCAGCTTCCCGTGAGGAGCAGCAGAGCGAGGAACAGCTGGTGCTGTGGTGGTGTTCGGTAACTTCTGAAGGGGATTGGGGGAATACACTTGGCCCCGAGGGATCCCTGCCCATCCCGAATACGGGAGTAACGTCCAGAAAACTCTTCTTATCGCTGGCTTCTCATTATTTCCTTCTCATAATTGCCCTGGGGACAGCTTTTCTCTTATTCTTCCCCCACGCAGCTTAATGCCTTAGTGGTCACAAGTACGCTGTGTGCTCCTGAATGAGGAGGATTCTTCGGAGCGAGGCGATTCCTTGTGGAGCAAATCCTGTAAAACACCATTCTACCAAAACTGCGGTCCCTTCCGTGAAGCGGTCGAAGAACACCTGGAATAGCGGGGCTGAATCTGGCGTGTGGTCGCACGCCTGCAGCGGTTCGTTCAGGAGCTGCCGAAAGTAAATCCCGGAGGAAAAACCTCGTGTAGGAAGCTCTGCCTCCTTCCCCCGCTTGGAAGCGCAGAGCTAAGGAGCGTCCGACCAGGCAGAGACGGTCGCTTAGATCTGAGACTTTGTATGCACTGAAATACAAATAATCACCTTGTTTAGAGGTTTAAGTGGAGACAGGGATTAAATGGAGTTGGAGACGGAAAGCCACGCTGCCTGCGTGGCTTTCCATCCAAAATGGCGACGGCGTGTAGTGTTTCACTTGCTCAAAATGCTGAGCGAATCTTAAACAACAAAATGGAGCAAAAATGTTGAAGGGGTTCAGTAATAAAACCAGGTGTCTCCCACGTGAGAGGCACCGAAAGATGAGCTCCTCGGGCTGGCGGTGGGCACAGTGAGGGTGAACGGCTAGAGGAGTCGTGGTTGCTGTGAAGCCTACTCCGTGGTCCTGTTTGAAGAGCAGAAGTTCAGATGTGCAGGGGAAATCCCGAGTGGGACCGAATCATAGAATCATAGAATCATAGAATCATTAAAGGTTGGAAGAGACCTCCAAGATCATCGAGTCCAACCATCAACCCAACACCCCCATGCCCACTAAACCATGTCCCTCAGCGCCGCATCTACCCGTCTTTTAAATACTTCCAGGGATGGGGACTCCACCACTTCCCTGGGCAGCCTGTTCCAATGTTTAACTACTCTTTCAGTAATTTTTCCTTACATCCACCCCCAGCCTGTAGCGCTGCATGGGGTTGTTGTGACCCAAGTGCAGGACCCGGCACTTGGCCTTGTTGAATCTCATGCAGAATCTAAATGGCTTGCCTCCTGAGAAATGAGCGACAGAAGAATCGGGAAGAGACGCCGTATCTATGACTTGGTGAAAACTTCTGTGTCGATTTTCTTTCGCCTGTGCGCAGAAGGGCTGTGGTGTGGCAGGTGGATTTCTCCCAACACCCCGACCCTCTCACCTGAAACTCCGAGTACACACGGAGAGAAATGCAGCTTCTTACAGCCTCTCACTGCACCGGCTCGCTGAAGCGTTCTCTGCTTAGGATATAAAAAGCGCAGAGATGTTAGCACAGAGATCCAGCTTCAAAAAAGATGAGTTTTGTTGGTTTTGTTCCTAATACAGACCCTCCTTCCCGTCCCACGGCTGCTGGCAGGAATTTTGCCTTGATTGAGCCTCGGCTTAGCCCAGAACGATTAAACAAATAGTTTATGTGCGAGAGTAGTCGTTCCCTCCACGTGTTGCTGTTGTACTGTTATAAACTTCAGAAATAGTTATTTCTGAAGCTGTATTTAAACATTGTGTTTCCAGGCTCCGTGGAAAAATAACACTAAAACATAAAACACTAAAGACTTATGCCCAGTGCTGCGGGATGTGAAACGCTGCTGAGGCGCGGAGGTTACTCGGGTGGGGCGGTTCTGTTCCTTCTGTATCCAAGGAGGAATTCACTGTAGAGCAAAGCAGCCGGTTTTCAAGACGCCGTTGAGCGGTGTGGTACGGCGCCCTGCCGCCATACCTGAACAACCTGCGCAACGAGGCTAAAAATGTAAATAAGTAGAGTGGCATAAGGTAAGCATCGGGAAGCGCCGGCGGGTAAACAGTTATTCCAGTCCAAAGCTTAGCCTGAGGGACAACAGAGCACGCTTGACTGAAGCGGGGTAAAAATCGGGTAATCCTTCAGCGCGGCATCGGCCGGCGTCGTCGGGGAGGTGCGGGTGGAAGGGAGGTAGAAACTCGCCGCTCCTCGCCCCAGTCTTTTCACAGGAACGCGCATGGGAATTGCGAGATTCTCCGAATTCCTCTCCGGGAAACTGTTTTAAGTCTCTTGTAACAGGGAGAGTAAGAGTTTTTCATAGCCTGAAGCTGGGAATTGGTGTACTCGCCTTGAGAAATAACGTTCGTGCATTGGGAAGGGCAAGTGACGGCATAAACTGTCGGGTTTGGGCAGTCGGAGGGAAAAAAGGCAGATCTTTAGCAAGGTAGACTTTCTTTAAAGAGAATTTCCAACTCAAAAAAAAAAAAGCTTTAGGTCATGTTTAATCTGCAAATGTAAAGCTCGCCCTGCTACGTAACGCTTCGTCAGGAGTAGCGTTGAGAAACACATTTGAGAATAAGACGTTTTTAGTTTTAAGAGCCCGTACGTTCTCTGAACGGTGGAAACGAGGTCGGGATGAGGCATGTGAGGCCCTTCTGCCCGTTCTGTTTTAATTATGCTTCGTGGGTTGCCCCTCCCGCTCTGTTCTCTTCAGTCTGCAAATGAAGAGGTCTGGCATGTCACGATTAATGTTGATAAAAGATTATTTCTTTCTGAAGTTTCTCTGTACTTGTCGCTCTCTCTCCACTTACCCCGTCAGATGAAGGGACTCGTCTCGCGTGTTCGACTGGTGCCTCGTGGCTGCGGGTGCTGCCGTGACGCAAACGAACACAAAGCTACAGAAACTGAGGTCTTGTACGAGCACTTTCTGGGAAGAGATTGTCTTCCCTTCTCGATGTGGCTTTTTAGTAAAAGCGATCCAAAAAAGAACCCCTTTCCCAGAAAGCTCCATCTGCTTTTGTGTGGGTTTGGCCTTATCTTCTTTATTGTTTCTATAATTTCTATCCCATCCCGAGTGGATCCGGGCTGTGCCCACGTGTTGCGTACCCCAGGCGCTTCCCATTGCCCCAGTTTGGAGGCAGAACTGGAAATGGTTTCGCGGAGGGTGCCTGGGAGACATCGAGTGAAACCGGTGAGCGACGGGTTGAGAGCGAAGGGAAGGCGATGGTTCTTCACGCAGCCGTTAGTTAGGCTGGTGACCTCCGTGCAGCGAGATGCTGCTGCTGCCGGCTCTTTGCGCTGGTTCAGAATCGGCTGGATAAATTCCCAGAAGGAAAAAAAAAAATGACAGAAACTCTTAAATACAGAGATGCCACTTCTGGCTCAGGACGTCCCTGAGCTGCAGGGTGGTGGAGAGGCTTCGACATCAGTACTGCACCCCCGCTGTGGTCTTGGGCCCTTCCTAGGCGATGCCTTAGCTGGGACAGGTCCGAGCCCAGCGGGATCTTGGATCGGACCTGCTGCAGCTGGTCCCGTGGCGTTACATCCTCGTGGGATCTTTCGGGTGCCCGTGGAGGGACGTCGGGGAAGAGGACGCGGGGAGCGAGCGGCGGCGCGGCCGGGCTGTGTGGGCGCAGCGTCCGCCTCGAGGCAGCCCCGGGTCCGTGGCAGCAAGTGGGCAGCTCTTGAGCGGTCGTCCCCAAAATGGGCAAAACTCACCCAATCCTGGAGGCGCTCGGGATGCCCCGGCATGGGACGTGGCATCACAGCCC